TCAAATGATGCAGCGTTCTGAAAATACCCTGTTTCGGACTCTTTAAAACTGAGATGCAATTTCTTTAAATCTAAAAAGCCAACTACCATTGCTTAAGTTATAAAATTCTGTAGCTAATGCCACGTACCCCACATGTACAACTGCAAGAAGCGAGGCTGTCCACCTCAGGCTTAAGTTTCAGATGCACAGATTGAAAATAACATGGACTTATTACCTGAACTATCTTGCCTGTAGCTTTTTTCAGAAAATTGCATCTCTTCTGGAGGCGAGCGGCGGTACAGAGCGCCAAGTCCCTGCGTTAGAGCCGCACTCTTACATAACCTGTGTAGTACGGCCAGTCAGCACCTCCGTAACGTGACGGCGAGGTTATTTTTACAGTATCATGGCAACAGGTTTTCTGCTCTGACATGTTTCCATAGTAGTAGCAGTAGGAGGATCAGGTGCCTGCCTTCCCTAAAAGCTTTGTTTTGCTGCGCAGAATGTGTTTAGCCCCTTTATTTTCTTACACGGTACAGAACTAAGCCATGCGAGTGCAGATGGGCAGCCGAGAAGCCAGCATCCCTTGTGTCTTGTGTCAGCCATTATGAGATACTTCGTTTGAGCTTATTGCAGCTTCCAAGCTGGGAAAGCTTCAGAAGCAAGAAGGCCAGCGTCTTGTGCTGAGCCAGCAGTGTGCAGAGAGAAGTGGGAACTGCTGCTGCCCGATACGAGGAAAAGAGAGTGAACTTCACCCATGGTGATCTCGCCCATCCCAAGCTTGGCATCACATTACACCTTCTGCTGTGCAGGAAGATTCCTGAAAAGCTGCTTCAGTTGTTTCTTCCTGTCATGGTAGCAGCCTGCAATGAAAACGTTAACAGGGGAGTTAGTTACACATCACCTTACTCCTCCTTCCTGTAGAGGTGAGGTCATGTCCCGCCTTCAGGTGAAGCTGTACTCGTGTTTTGTTAGTTAGAAACTACAGCCAGAGACGATTGTAGGCACACTGAGCTGCGTACTGCAAAATAAAGTTACCATACATGTCAGCCTCTCGGAAGTGTGACTTTAGAATCCGAGTACTACTTCCCAACAGTGAAATACATAACTAGCTTCAGGAACGTGCCCAGTAAACAGTCACCACAGTGACTGTAGAGCCGTTTTTGCAGCAAAGTTGGCATATGAAGAACTCTGCTGTGGCTTAATGCTTGAAAAGCAGGACTATAAACAACACTGTCCCCACTACGTATACGTGTTTGTTTTCAACAGCGCTCCTGCAGCCCGGTCGCTTACATCCACTTTTGGAAAGCGTTTGCTGCTTTTGGTCTCTTAATCCCGTAAAAGCCCACAAGCCCACTCTTGTTCTCTTACTCCCGAGTGAAAGGTGTGTGCTCTCCTCTTGCTGGTGTGCAGGTTAGCTTAAGGATGTGAGCAGGGCACCCTGCCAGCGCTGGATGAGCGCGCACCTCAACGTGTGTTTGCCATGACGTTCTCATTCACCGGAGTACCCAGTCTTCCCCCCCGCTGACAGGCCCGTCATTCCGTATCAGGTCAAAGCCTCCAACACGCTTCTCCTTCCCCGTCAGCCTACAACGTCAAATACACTTACTGAAGTACCTGAGCAATGACAATTATCTGTCTGCGCACAGGAATAAACTCCCAGACAATCAGAGACAAAGCGGAACAGCTGAAAGCAGTGGACATCTTTCTGCTATTAATATCTGAGGTTAGCACAGTTGCAAAGTCAATCACAAAATGCTGCAAGACAAGCTGCTTGGAACAGAGCGCTCCAGAAGCGGTAAGTGTGGGAGGCACAATGCAGAAGGGCCTCTGAAAGAGAGCTCTTGTGCAAGTCCCAGCTCTGACACAGACTCCATCCCCTTTGCAGCCCCGTGCTGCTTTGTTTTCCCACTCTGAAGTGGCAGCATGCTTGCTTACTTTGCTCCGTTTCTGGAAATTCATCATTTAATCACACAAAGGTTAGAGAATTATGATCAGTTGCCAAGAAAGATGTGGAACCAGACCATCCATTCCAAACATTTGAATAAAAACCCTTAGAAGGTAATAAACATCTTTGCCTGCCTGCCCTCCCTGTCCACAATATGAAGTGTGTCTTCAAGTAGATGACACTTGGGTTCACAGTCTTCCTGCCTACTGGCAGTGAGGGCAGGTGAAGCTGTCACCTCCAGAAGGCAGCTGAGGAAATACGACAACCGTAAATTAGGGAGAAACAGGCAGTTTTGCCAATGGTTCATCTAAGAGAAATGCCTGTCCACAAAGTCATTACCCTGCTAGCAGGCAAGAGTAAGTGTGAAGCAATAGGAAATCCAACCCCAGATCTCTTTCCCATGCACCGAGCCAAAGAACATTCTGAGCTTATTGCAAAGTTTCTATTCCTGTTCTCGATGGTACTAAAGAAAAAAAAAAAATCCCTCTAGCTTCCAGACAGACATACAAGTGAAAACCAAAGTCTAGCTGAAGCAGTAAATGCTGAGGAGAATTCACAGAATGAGCATTAACCCTTTTTTAGTGGCAGAACGCAGATATCTCCCGGGAACAGCTTCCTAGCACAACACGGTGTTCAAATAGCTCTCCTGTGAGAGCCCAGCAGCAATATCTGAGCACTGCAACGACATCGAGGACTTTCATTCTGATTCATTTGTTTCCCGACCAACTGAAGTTACTCCAGCTCTTTACGTGCAGGCTGCCTAAGCAGTAATTTGGTTTGAGGCTATGAGCAGAGTAAATTGTGCAAATTAGAGCTATCCTGGACCACAGCTGAGCTGCATTTATTTGCTCATTTGAAATAAAGCTGTCCCCAGCGGCACCACGTGAAATATTGGACTGAAGCTGACAGGAGACAGGGCTGCAACAGGTATACCGGCTACCATGTCTGGTTGGAGGGAAGAGTTAAAAAAAATAAATTAGATAAGGCATTTCGTAGGAGAGCACCGTCAACATAAGTCATATCTAAGGGAAATTTCCTTACCTATGGTACTGCTTGCACTTTATGTGATTAAGGCTGAAAGAATAATAATCCTATTTGCTTGTCATTTCTGAAGTAGTATTTGCTGTTTCTGTTTTTCTCAACTCCTGTAATGACAAGTCAGTTGCGCTCTTGGGTTCCTGCTGTTGCAATTCTTGGGTTGCGTACATAGCAGATAAAATTCTGAGAATTTCAGCTGAACTTTAATGATACGTATTTTTCCCTTAGCCAGTGAGAAAAGCTGCGTTTTAAAAAAAAAAAATAATCTAGAGTCAAATTATGTTTTAAAGTTGTTGGGGTTTTTTTGTTGCTTTGTTTTAAATACCCTCAACTCCTGCGGAGTCCTTTTCTCCACAATTAGCAGGAGGGACCTCTTTCAGTTGGGGTCTGCCTTTTAGCCGGTGGACCACAGACACGGGTTATGTTTAGTGCTGGCAGCTAAACGGCACCGGCTGGAGGTTTATCAATGCTGATGGGGGACTGCTGTGAGAAGAGATGATGGTAACGCTCCATCTCTGGCAAGTGCTGTGACACTTGTGATACGCTGATAACGTATTAGGGGAACATATTCCAGAAACAGCCAAATTGGCAGGGTTTCACAACACAGTGCTCGAGATCCTACAGACAAAGTTACGGGGTGCTGCACCCAGCTAATAAACCCCGATACTCGGAGCAAAAGCAGCTGTATCCTTCCAGACGGCAGCTCCCTTCATGTAAAACAGTTCAAACCTCTCTACACGTCACTTGCGGTTCCAGGCTGGCTCACTTTCAGCCAGCCTGCAAACACCTACCTACAAGACGCAGAAGCATCACAAGAGACCCCTGTCCCAGGGAAAGCAGCTGGCCTGATGCTATAACCCCCTGTATGTTTATTAACACCCTTATGGTTTCAGGTCCCCATGGATCAGGATGTCGTACCCATAGAGCTCAAAACACTGTTTGTCACTGATAATCGCCTTCTGAACACTCTGGAGGCTGTGGATGAAAGCATTCTCCGTATCCACAAAGAGAACTTCCACCGACCCTGCCCCGCGCTGGGCGGTCGAGTGCTGTCCGAGCTGCTGAATCACCCCCTTGCAGCCCTGAGACATCCAAACACAACCGTATTAAGCTGTTCCCAACAGGTGACCACACATTTAGCCCACGTGATTTTTTTCAGTCATCACCCTATAGTCTCCACAGCCCAGCAAGAACTCTTAGTAAAAAGCCAGAGACCAGAAGGTAGCGGCCACCAGTCCCACAATGCAGTTAAACTCTTCAGGCTTGACTACTGTACAGCTATAGGAAAAAAAGTCCCCAGGTCCCCATCAGAAGTTCCCTAACAGCAATCAACATCTTCTCTTCTGTCAGGGTACTGCAAAGATCCTCCTTTTCCATACAGACAAGAGAGATTTATAGAAGGGAGCAGCCCATAAAATGGGAAGCTCAACACCATCCTCCATTACTCTCAAACATTGACCCTCACCTCGGATTCACGAGGAATCCGACGTCCCATTTAATTTTTTTCTTCCCCTCCCTCTCTCTCTTTCTCTCAGCTGCCACCCCTTGAGAGAGGAAGCTTAACAGTGACAGTTGTGTGCAGCAACGTCAACCTTGTTGTACTGCTGAGGTCTTAGAGGCGAAGGGCTAAGCTATAAGATATCTACATCTCAGAAGAGCGCTAACCAGAAAGTTACGAGGTTTAAAGTCAAAAAGATCAGCCTTGTAGATGTGCAGACAGCTGCAGAGCAACATTAAAGCAGAACGCTCGCCCAGCCTCCCTCCTAAAGCTGCTATCAACGAAATCACATTCATGGGTATCAGGAGACAAGGCAGCACAGTTAAGTGGCTGCAGCACGCGTCCACGGCGTGGCAGCTGGCAGGATGAGGTCAGCTTGCTTGCATCTGCCAGAAGAGCCCCAATGGCAGGCCGCGGGGGAATAGTCCGCAGGCAGCGCGTATCCCTCACCTTCCCGGGATCATAATCACATGTGGTCTTTTGCACTGCCACATTTGTGAGACGAACATCTGGAATGAAGTAGAGATAAGGATGAAAGACAAACAGACACCGAACAAGCAAATACGGAATTCTCACTCTAAACAGTCCTCTTCTGCCCCAGTGCCAATTAATTATCTTCCCTATCTGTAACAGCCACCTGAGCTTAAATCCAATACTGCACGATGATATCTTACTAAAAATTGCAGGAAAAATTAAAAATCAGAAGTAATCAAGAGTGGTATCTGGAAAATGAAAGAGTGACCGGCCTGAGCTAGTGCTGTATCTCATGGCTGGCACGAAGCTCTTCATGTCAGCATGTCTCCAAACCCCACCGTGCCTTCACCCAAGGCAGCTTGCTGTACCCTCAACTCTGGAAAGGCTTTTGATCGTTCAGAGCAAGCATGAACTTTGCTGAACTTTCACGGAGAGAAGTGATGGATTTTCCTGTCTCCTAAGCCACCAAATTGAGGTGGGATACCTTTTGGGAAGATGTGTTAATCAAATGAAAGCTATCAAACTCAATCCAGTAGCAAGCGTGACACATAGGAAATCAAATAGTTCTCTCCCATGAATCACCCTGTCCTTACGTTCTGTGAAGCCGAGGAAGAAGAAAGGCTGCCAACGTTCAGCCACTAACAAAACCAGAACTGACGTTTCAGCTTCGGTCCTAGCTGATTTGTCAAACTGACATTTCCAGTGATCTGGTGACTCCAGTTTTCCAATGAAAAAAGACAGGAGAGAAACAAGGTGACAGCAACAGCGACAGGACAGCCGAATCCTGTAGGTGTTTGCAGGAGTCAGGAGTGACAAGGTTCGTCCGATGCATCTAACATCAAGCAGTAGAATTGTACGTTCCTTTTCTTACCCTTCTTTACGGCACACACAGACAGGTAGGATACAGTGATCATCTCTGCTATTCAGAGTAAATTGTGTATTAGAAAAGCGAGCAAATCCGCCTCTGTACAACCAGGCCTTCAGTGGGATGTACTGGGAGAAGAGGAAAGGAGCAACTGGGCGTTAAGGCAAGGAAATCCATTTCTGGCATAATAATGGTGGTTTGCACTCACAGATGTCACTGGAACATAAACTCTCAAGTCAAACTTTCAACCTATGAAGTGCAGAGAAATGTATAATATAACCCAGTTGCTGATATTGCTGCCTAGTGTTAGACCTACCCAATATCAGAAGTTTATATATAAACATGCACACGAAGCGTAAGAAGTCAGATCCCAGATAAAGTATCTGACCATTTGGGAAAAGCCACGGTAAGAAACTTTGTTGTTGCCCTGGGGAATGGTGAAGGAATACTGCACGAGACAGGCACAGGAGAACAGAACAAGTCACCGGCAGGAGGAGAGGAGGAAGTAAGAGCAAAAAACCACAATGCCTGTTGGGTATTCCCCAAGGAGAAGACAGAGTTGTTCTCACCTTCTTCAATCAACGATATCCTTCAGTTTTCAGAACGGGAAAATTCCTTCACCTGGTGACCTGCCAACATACAGACAGAAGAGCAGAGTTACCGGCTTTAACATTAGCATTTCCTGCTCTTTCCCAGAATTTCAGTGTAGAAGCCCTGCATAACCTGATTCATCACCTGTTTGTATGCAAGCACATTTATTTAAGGTTATGGGGGCAGCGGGATCCAACAACAGCCCGCTAGTGCAAAAAGCTCAGATTCGTAAGTGTGAGGAGGATTCCTGGAGGAAAGGGCAGAGCAGGCAGCCAGCCTATGGGGAAGTTCCACGGTACCGAATAAACAAACTCTGTCACATGCTCGCAGAAATATAAGTAACGCAACATACGTTGTCGGGAATTTTGTGAAGTCACATTTTAAATTTGTGTGCGTGTGGTGGTGTGCTCCCCCCGCCCCGCCCCACGTAAGCAACGACCACCAGTGGGGGTCGTTGTGGCTGCATCCAGCTTATGCTGGACTACGGGAATGGACCGGCAACACGGTAGCCAAGGGCTGCCTGGAGCAGTGACCCAAACGACTTGCTGATATGCAAATATGACTATAAGTCAATCATCTTACTCCATAAATAGTGGAGAGCCCAGGGCCCGTTGAGCTCCCCTTGAGTAGGGACGCCTCTCAAGGTTACTCCTCGAGGCTGAGAGATTCCCTGCCGCAACAGATCCTCGGTAAGTGACTAACAGCATGCTAAACTCTGAAATCTTAGCTAAGTGATATAATGGACTGGTTGCGTATATATAATCCTTTAGACATAAACCATTGGCCAAGTCTGGGACTAGGATTGGATCCAGCCGCACCTAGACTCCTCCCTGAGAAGGAGTGTAGAAAGCAGGGGGGTCCTTTCTGAACCTCACGGCTCAACGGGAGGGTCTCCCTGACAGTGTTGTCTGACCCTGTCCTCTATGCAGTAAGGAATGAAGTGTACCTTGCCACTGAATCTTGTTAAACCAGTCGCATTTACCATTGAACTTTGTTAACTCACGCTTTAACTCACTGTTTTCTATCAATGAAGTGTATTGTTGCTTCTCTCCCTTACGAGTGAAGTGCAGTCTCACTTAATCCGTGACAGTCTGTTATAGAAGAACTTAATTAAACAGGAAAGTCATGAAAGACATCAGAGAACTATGGCAAGCAAGAGCAGAACAATCCTGAAGATAGCCTAGGCTGCACAGTGTATTGAAAGTGGGTGACGAGTGGCCCAGATAAGCCACCCGAGAAGCAAGGCCCCCCAGGGTACCTTCCCAAGGAGGCCCAGACTCCTGCAGCCCCAGGATGGGGCACTGTGCACGTCCTGACCTACTACTGCAGCTCAGCGTGGGAGTAGGCGAGCTGAGACGTTACAACACAGGGCTGCTCAAGAGCACAGACCGACAGAAGTAACACGGAGTTTATTTTTACTTGTCTGTGAGTTTTGAGGTCAGCCACAAACTATTTCATTTAAGTTGTTGGTATAATCTCAGTAATCACAGGCTTTTCATATATCCTTGTTTACTGTATTCTGGTTATTTACCATGTTAATTGAGGTTGTGGGCATGAAAATCAGCTTAATATAAGGGTTTTTTGTTGCCAATTAACACATTCCCATTTGTAGAGTTAGATAATCACTAGCTGCTATCCTCCTGGCTGTAATTCACATGTTAGTTTGCATAATTACCTCCCATTCACTTCTCATAAGTGTGCCCTCACCGATGGGCCTGACTCGCAGGGTAAGGCGAATCCTCCTGTCCCAGCCTCCTCGCCAGGCCTGCTGCGCAAAGCAAAGCAAAGCGGGTCTCACGGTATTTTTAATTACGCACCACGGCACGATACTCATGATGTTAAATGGCTCGAATCATCTGGCAGAAGCATGGTGTTTCTCAGCATCACGTTGTATTGTCGTAATTTCTAAAGGAAACACGATTTTTCCTCGGTCCCCAGGACACTGGCTGAAGTGGAAGTTGCTGCGTTCAGCCCAGCTCCAGGTAGCTATAGGTCTGGGGGGACAAATGTGATTCAGAACATGAGGCTACACTTCAGGTCTCTAACTGCAGAGCAGAGAGAAGGCAGTGCCAACCAAATCCACCCCAACCTGCGCTCCAGGCTGCTCACGGAGTCTCCCGTCATCTCGTCACGTTCCCAGGATGGAAGTCCGCTCAGTAAGTTGGCCGGACTTACGCAGGCTCGCATCTAAAACCAAACAGATGTTTTCATAGCTCCAGCTTTAGGGGCTGCCCTAAAACACTGCTTAACCAGAAGCCCAGTTAGACAGCTGCCCTGCACACACACACCCTCTTGCACACCTGCAGCCAAACTGAAAGATTTCAGAGCATGAACTTGGCCGTAACCCCACAGCGAGAACCCCTGGGAGCACAATCTGTTCCTCCACACAAGAACTCTGCGCTTTATACCTTCACCACTGAGTTAACTTTGGCTCTACAAATAAACTGAGCTGTCTTTTGACTGCTGAAATAAATTGTTACCAAAGAAGAAGTGCTTTGGTAGTACGTGTTGACCAGGACGCTGGCCAGGAGCACTGCTGCTCCTAGCCACCTTGCTATGCCCAGTTCTTCCTGCGGATTTCCTGCACACTCTCCTCTCCCTCTGCAGAACGAAGGCATCCATTCATCTCTGTCTCACTTTCCTTTGGAGAGTGAGCACATACTTACTGGTTTCAGAATTCAAGTGATGCCAGGATTCTTGCAAAATTCTTCCACAAACAAATAGTGCTCTGAAGGCATTTTGAAGGTCTTTGGAATAAAGGCACATTTTGTTGCCTCAAGCTTTCCTGCTTCTAACTGCTTCTGAAACCTCTTCAGGTTCTTCACTAAGCAGTTCTTCTGAATCAACTGAGTAGAAAAAGAAATATAAGGTTCAGCTCAACAAATGCTCCCACAGTCTGACTCGCTTTAATTGCCCTTGAGAAGCTTCTGGTGACATCTGGGGATCAACTGCACCACATACTCTGAAGAGAAAAATAAACAAACATGGATACCATTGAGTGCTGCTTTGTCTTTGTGGAGGAGAAGGCTCGATTTTGATTTTCTGTACCTCCGCGTGAACAGGGGAAGCCAGAACAGAGCAGGCCTCACGATCTGTGTTCTACCATTTCTAACGTAGCCTTCCTCTGCAGTCAGCACGCTCCTCTCCAGAACAGGCAGCTCTGAGCAGCACTGCCCACGCC